ATTAGACCCCTCAACCACGTTTGCCTTCCCCTCCTTGTCTTTCATGAACTTAGCCGGCTTGAGGTGAGGATGAAGTATCCAGCATTGACTCTTCTTATGCCCATACTTCTTGCATTGATCACACGTTCCATTAAACCTTCCTTCATACCTCCTCTCATCATTTCTACCATAGGCAGCCTTATTGGCCTGGAAACCTTCCTCTTGAGCTTCTTGAACCGCTTGACTAGCTAAGGTAAGGTCACCTTTGTTTCCAAACAAGCCAATGGAGCCTTGCTCCTTCTGAACCTGAGCGCACACATCCTCTAGGCATGGGAGCTTCTCTGCTCTCAAGATGTGTTTGATGAGACCATTGTAAGCTGGATTGAGAGTGAGAAGAAGTCCAAAGACCTTATCTTGCTCCCGTCTCTCAATGAGCTCCTCCTCATCCGTAGTACTTGGCCTAAGCATCTCAAGTTCAGACCACAGTGCTCTGAACTTCCCTAAGTGCTTTGTGAACTCCATATCCTCTTGCACAAGCCCATTGATTGCCTTCTTAACCTCAAACACACGGCTTAGGTTAGACACATTACCATAGACCTTTTTCAATGTCTCCCAAAGGTCCTTTGCCTTTGTGCAGTAGCTATACGCTTCTAGGATGGACTGGTCTAAAGACCCTTGAAGCACGGAAAGGACCAAAAGGTCATCTTGCTCCCATTTCTCCTCATCCGTGGTGATATCACCTTCACCACCATCTTGAGTAATCCTCTTTGGGGCCTCACCAGTTGTGATATGCCCCCAAAGACCTTTACTTCCCACGGCTGTCTTCACCAACCGTGACCACAACAAGTAGTTACTCCCTTTTAGAGTAACCGGAACCTTCATCTTCATGCCACTCTCCATTCTCAGCCGCTTGACTTCAAAAGCTTGCTAAAGGAGAAACCTTGAACACCACACCGTAGACTTACTTCACAAGTCTTCAACGCACAACCCACAGCTCCTCAAGAACACACACACCTCGAACCAGTAAGAACACGAAGAAGAAAACACAGCTTTCCCGGAGAGGACAGGACGCAACCGCTCCAAGAACACACACCAAACTCAGATTATGCCTAACCTGGCTCTGATACCATAATATTTTTGTAGTAATCTGAGTTTAGAAGGTTATTTGTAAAGAGATTAGAAGAGAAAATGAGATTTAGAAGAGATTCAAAGAGATAAGTGACTAGTAACTTCAGATCTAAATAGTGACAAGAGGCAAAGAGAGACTCGANCGGTCACAACACCTTGTGCACTAGTCACTCCTTCTCTTCCAAGTAGTGTCTTCAGCCTCTTTTACTTGCTGAACACATTTCACCTTCTTTACCATGGTAACTCTCATTTTTACCATGGTAACTATTTTAAACCCAAATGCATCTTTTTCCCTCATTGTGTACACCTCTTTATCTCTTATTTCCCAACACATTTCAACAAGGTACACTCTCTTCTCAATTTTTAAAGACACAATGGTCGCCCCAACCGAAAACTATGTTGTATACTTGATCCACCGGAATTCAATGTAATGAGAATCATAACAAAACACTTCATCATAAAAACTGTACCCAAATCTATCTAATTCAACATCAACCAAACATCCCAAATAGTTAATTAGATAAGATAAAGATCAGAAATAGTCAATTACATTAGATAATTAAGTCTTAAATAAGTCTTAAACACAAGATCAAACTTTAAAACCACCACAAGGGTGGGTTGCCGCCATCAAGTCATAAATAACCCAAAAAAAATTACCACCGGGTTACCTAACAGAAACCACAACAAAATATTTTCTCCACCCACTCTAATGGCCTCCACCCATGTACAAGGGCACAATCCACTCCTTATACACGTCCATCGCATATTGCTTCCTCATAATGTCCACAAGCAGATCAGTAAGATCCTCAACATCTGGCTCCTCCACACCTGTCGCTGCAAGCTCCATAAACTTCATCGCCACAGGTCCACAATCACCACTCCTAACATTCTGATACCCATCCGCCATCAAAAGAATCCCAAATGGTTGCAGCCCATTACCAGGCAAATGAACTGCTGGACATACCTTACGCACAAGGTATGGTAACATCTTCGTAATTGGTGTCATTATAGTCAGAACATCATCTACTTCCCGCAGACTTCTGTTCGGATCATAAACTAACACACTCCAATCGGTTATGCTTATACGCAAACCAACCCAGTGATTTGTACCCCAGAACATCGGAGTGTACAGCAAATCAACATCTACACCCAGCTTCTTTCCTTCCACAGTCAAAAAACTGGCAAGCTTCGGATCAGAAAACACACGCCCCTTGTAAGTTGCCGCCTTGAAAGCTCGGTCCTTCCCAGACAAAAGCTCCACAAACCAGGGAGAAACAAACATCGCCCTGTTATTCTTCAAAACCAATTCATGCCTCTCGCTTAGGAAATCCACCAGAACCTCCATATGCTGTACACACACATCAAATAAACTACAATTTTAGCAAATTAAACAACAAACAAAAAAATGGGGAATGAAAATATTCACCTTGCTTGAAACCCACTTCTGCGAAGCCGCAAGGTCCAGAAAAAACTGATTGTCCAAATCATATTTCCCCGCACCAAGGTGCAACCTGCCAAAGTAGTTACAACAACTATTAAATTAACTAAATTCAGTCGATCATTAAAAAAATTCAAAACTTACACTTTCGGATTCTCCAGCAAGACTTTCTCAAAATAACTGTAGTCCGCGTCTTCCACAGACGGAACTATCTGAGAAAGGGTGAATGGTTCTTTCGCCAATAATAAAGATGCCAGATTCGCTTCCGATTCTGCAGGCCTATGCTTCTCAGAACGAGGACACGGAGATGAATCACTAAGATCTGTTATCTTAGAAACTCCTGTACATTGCAACTCCAACCCTGTCGCCCCTTCCTGCAATCAATGAAAAGCTACTCCGTTAATTACACAAACACAAAAAATTACTGAAAATAAAAAAAAAATAAAAACAAAAAATACCTGCGGTTTCTCTTCAGATGGAGTCTTCTCCACATCATCATCATTAGCCCCCTCCCCCTTCTCAGTACAGGGACCCGGAGACGAAACACTAACATCTGTGAACTTAGAAACTCCAACACTCGACACCCCCAACGCTGAGGAACCTCCCTGCATTTAGTGCCAAGGTGTGAGTTTTATTTTGTAAAAACAAAAAATTCAAATCACTACTACCTCAGTTTTCTCTTCAGCTTGATTATTCTCCAAATGGCCAGCATTAACCCCACCCTGATACACCAAACGAAAATAAAAGTTATAACCTCACGCATACAAAGTTATTGGTTTATTGACTTGTACACCTGTACGCCTAAAAAAAAATATTCAAAGACGTAACTCGTACATCTCTAAACTAAATATTCGTACACCTGTTTCGGATTACTCGTACATCTGTACGGCTAAACTTGAACATGAATCAGTTTATGCCACCACTCTCAAAAAAATTTTTACCTCCAACAACACACCAGAATCCTTCACTATTGCTCCAACAAGTTTGTCAAGCCCACACAACTCCTACAACAAAACAACTCATTAGGATGCAAACACAAAGTAACTACCAAAACTTCACAATTATCGAACCCTAAGGCCTAACAAATTCTTACCTTCTCTTCTATCCCTCCTACAGAAACTTCCTTCACTTCATCACTCTCTACGGAATTTCCTTCAGAAACACCTTCGCTACTCCCCTGCGACAAAGTACAATTTTGGGATCAATTTCTACTACTTCAAAAACAATAGAAAATACTTAAAACACTATATCATGAACCAAAACAAACATACCTCATCCTCAGTAACATAAAACGTATTGGCAGTGGTTGCTCTGTAAAGTACAGTCCCCCTTAACCCACTCACTCCCTGCTCAATCCACTGAATGGGTACCCCATCACCTTCCTTCAGTGGTGCAAGCACATCAGGATTGCCTTCAGACGAGCTTCCCTCAACATCCACTTCCCCACTAGGCTCCACAACATCAACACCTACCTTCTCATCCTCTCGAACTACATTCTCTTCACTATCAACACTAACTTCGACATCATCTACCCTGTCCTTAAATTCTTCTCCATCTATAGAACCACCCGCTTCTTCATCCTCATCCACAAATGTTCCTTCCACATCAGGAACTGTTCCTAACTCGTTTACATCGCCTGAAACATCACCAACATCATTCCCACCGTCTGAATGAAGCCTACCGATATCAACACTTCGAACAATCTCCCCACCCCCAATGTCATCGGCTATGAAAGGCTCATCTTTTTTTCCAGGGCTATTTTTAAATCTTCTCTTCCCCAGCGACTTCCCACCCAAAAACACATCTTTCTTAGGTGTTGTTCCACACCTCTTTCTCCTTGGCATCCTCTTCATCATCCAGCTAACTGTTTTTTCCAACTTGGCAATCCGTTCACAACACTTCTCGCATTCTTCTCCATCAACAACTGGCCTTTTCCCAAAGTATGTACTCAAACGCTTCTGCTTCAATGGCGGACCTCCAAGTTCTAGTTTCTTTACACAGGCGACCTCCCTCTTCCTTTTCTTCAGAGCCATCTGGGCCTCATGATCATACAACTTCTCTTGGGTGTCACCACCACCCCATTCAGATTTCTTGAAGCTATGCCCCCCTTCAATCAGTCCTACCATATACTTCACTCTCCTATCATCTATCTCGTCGTCCCATTCACCCCATCCTTCCGGCACCTCTTCTCCAGGCTCCATCATTGGCTGCACAATTAACTGAAGCCAAAAAAAAATACAAATTTATATGTATTACAAATAAAAAGGGGTCATGTACATTTGTACAAGTCTTTGGGCTAGAATTTATATTAGCCCAAAATCGTGTACAAGTTAATTGTCTGAAACATTAAACGTACATGTGTACACCCACTCAAACAATATACTAGAAAAGTCATAAAAAAAAATTATAAACATTTTTACCTCTGCATTGTGCTCGGCTGCCAGTACATCAACAAGATTAAGCCCAGTGTGCTGCTGAAGCCTATCACAGTCTCTCAATTTCAGCTCATCAGTACCTCCAAGCTTTCCCAAAAGCTGAGGAATAGCCTCATAAACAACAAGCTGAAGTGCTAGAGGGAAACCCGTCATCTTCTTCGTTTTCTGCCTAAGCCTGGCGCACATTTCGCCCTCAGGATCATCACATTTCCCAATTATCTTCTTCCCAGGAATCATTGTGTTGATAGTCCAGAAAAAAGATTCTCGACCCCAAGGGAAAGCTAGGAACTTCTTCAAACTCTCAAGTAATTTCACATGCTTAACCAATGGTCTAGGTGGCTGTGTAGAGGCTATAAGCACCCCATCAACAATAATCAACAAACATAACTTGAACCTTCTGCTCTTAGAAATGCTTTTGTCCTCTAACACCATCTTCACAACATCAGGGATTGTTATGTCTCTCCTACCATCAAAAAGCTTGTCCCAGAATACATAATCTTCTTCCTTGTACGTCGGCTGGAAGTCCACAACATAACCAGGTTCGAACTCTCCGCAGGGCAGCCCAGTCACACACCCAAACTCTACAAGTGAAAACCTTAGTGGATTACCTCCATAGATGGGCCACAACTCGTACCTCTTCTTACTAACAATCTGCCTCACAAGCATCGCATGAATCATAACCGATGAATAGCTGCACCTACGTACAGGTAAAGTGAAAAGCTTTCCAAAACATGAGCTCATGAGCCGGTCCATCTCAGGTGTCCCGCGAAGTAAATCTCTTACAACCAACAGGTTCTCAAGGGTCGAGTACACATTTAGACGCCTGCTAGGGTACCGGTCCGTCGCAAACAATCGCCGTGGAAGCCTTTCGTCGGGTACAACCTCACGGCTTTCTTCATCTACATGTACAAAAGAACAACAAACAAGTCAAAACAAAACCCCCAGAAATAAGCAAATCGGAAAAACAATGGAAGGGATCTTTTCCCGGTGGCGAATAAAGGAAAAAAAACCGTGTTTACCTATAACGGGATCTTTTCCTTCCCTCCTCCGTCGCGATGTCGTCATTAGAAGTCTTCTTACTCTCCTCAGATGTGGTCTCCTCCTTTTGGTTCTTCGAATCCGTCGCTTCACTATCTCTCGGTTTAGGTTACGGTGGAATGGGAAAAGTAGATCTGAGAAAGTAAGCCTAGAATAAAAAGAAAAATAATTATAATTCGCCTTACTCGTTTTGACTTCCGATAATTTGAATTTCAAAACCCAAAAAAAGTGCAAACAGAAAACCTAACTAGAGTTATGGTCTTTAGGCTATCGTTAGTGGGTTTAGGGGGGTAATGGTCTTTCACCGACCAAAAAGTGTCTTGGGAGCCCAATGTGACTATCCATGTCACCCAAAGACAGAAAGTGACCCAATATGTTATATTCTCTTAAAGGTATAGGAAATTTGAACTTGTTTAACAAGGAATCTCAAGCTCTTTATATGCCTACCTTTACGTCCAACTTACTATCAGTAAAGAAAGCCACTAATGATCTTAATTGTAATGTGATTTTTAGTCCTAATGAGGTTTGCTTTCAGGATATTGAGACTAGTAAGATGCTGGGAAAAGGTGTGAGCAAAGGAGAGCT